AAAATGGGCCCCACTCTAAGCATGTCGGAAAAGGGGCAGAGTAGCCAACAGAAGCCTCTTTTTTGTGTTCAAGAAGAAGGAAATAAAAAAGAAAAGAAAGTAACTGACAGTCAGATAAAAAGCTTTAATACGAAAATCACTATTACAAAACAAATCTGACTGCATTGTAAATGTCTTAATCAATGCATGTGAGGAAAATTTCACCCTACTGAATTCGAGCCGTAGGATCACACGCGCACACTCGATTTGACAATTGAGACTTAGGGCGTGTTTGGATATAAATATATTAGCTAGAAACGAATTTTTCAATTAATTATAGTTAATTTAAAAAAAAAATAGTATGATTAATTGTTAATAAAAATTTTAATTTATATTAAAATAAAATAATTAAAATAGATTTGATTGTGATGTATAAGAAATAATTGATTGATATTATTTAATTATATCGATAATACTAAGAATAGTGAAATTGAATTAAAGTATAATTGAATTTTGAGTATGAATTAAATAAAAATTGAAATAATTTATATACAAACACACCTTAATATGTTTAGTGCTCATACGAGTTAGGTGATATTTACGAGCATTCGGAATACACATGCACATACATCCGTACAGGTAAACGTTGATTTAGCTGTTTAGAGCGCAATTGGATATATTGGTTAAGCTTGAGTTAATTTTAAATAAAGTTAGATCAGTGGCGGATTAAGTGAAATTTTTGTGTTTGTATTAATTTAGTATTTAAAATATAATTATTAAAGCTAATGCGATGTAAAAGTATGAAATAAATTTGAAATAATAAGTAGTTAAAAAAATTATGAGAATAGATAAACAATATTTAAAAGTATGAACGATTAATTGATTTTATTTAATTGTGGTGATAATAGTGAGAAAAATTGAGTTGGATTGAATTTAAGATGTATGTTGACTTGGAGAGTGTAAAAATAACATTTATAGCCAATCGCGCCTTTAAAAGTTTACGTGTTCAGTGCCTATATAGTAAGCTGAAAGTTTCGAACCTTCGGATTAAGTGTGTGTTGGTCCAATGATTGTTAGTGTTTGAAGGGTGTAAACGAGTCGAGCTAAGCACGCGCAGTATCCTTAACAAGTCGAGTCTCGTTAACTTAAAGAGCTTATAATCAGCTCGAGCTTAGTTCGTTTATCAATATTAACGAGCCAAGCTTGAGCTTTAACGAGCCAAAATCAAGTGAAATTATAAAAATTTACATAAAAAGCATCTATTTGAGCCTTATTGAGGCGGGTTGAGCTTGACTCGTTAACTTAACGAGCTTTAAATGAGCTCAAGTTTAAACGAATCGAATCGAGCCCAATTCACGAGCGGCTCGTTTAAGTTAACGGCTCTATCAGTGCTCACAGGATAAGGTAAAATTAACCGCATATAAAAAATGATTTAAAAATAAATTAAAAACAAAAATAA